TATATATATATATATATATATATATATATATATATATATAAAGTGAGTTTAACAAGAAGTTTAAGAAAATATGAGGTGCACAGTAGCTGAGCTTTGAAGCGTACCCATTAAACTAGATCCAGAATAGGTCTAACAGAAATATATTGCTATAGATGTATATATATTACAGCAGAAGATACTTACTCTGGGTCCAACCTCACCAGTGGGACCAGGGTCGCCAGGAAAACCAACAGGACCCTGAAGTTGGACACAAAAACAAATCTCAGACCTCAGAATATGTCTAGTTATTTACGTGAGTGTAAGTTTAACTGTTTTATTGCGTCATACGGGGTTTCCTTTGGGTCCGTCGTCTCCAGGTCGTCCTCGTCCTCCAGCAGGTCCAGCAGTTCCAGGTTGTCCAGCCTCTCCCTTCTCTCCACGCTCTCCACGAGGACCCTGCCAACAGGGACACATATTTAAAATAAATTATAAATTCCATTCAGAAAAGGAACATTTACTCGGTATCTCAGAGTTTGTGTCGGACACTCAGGTACTCACCTTCTTTCCAGGCTCTCCTACGATTCCAGGTGGTCCAGCTTCACCAGGCTCTCCCTGTGGAGCAAACAATAAATGTTTAATCATCTTTTTGTTGGAGATCAATAAATCTGCGCAGAACTTTCTCTCCAGTGTTTCACCTTTTCTCCAATAGGGCCAGGATTACCCAAACCACCAGGACCACCTTGTGGACCCTAAAACGCACAAAACGAAGCACAAAACATTACATTACTTAATTAAAATTCTAATAACTGGGGTAAATAATTATAGCATAAAAGAAATAAATTGTGTGTGGTAAAATGAGTCCAAACTAAAATTCAATTCGTTACTCTCCCATACGTGAAACAGTTTTTACAAAATACTAAAGTTCTCTGCATGAAACGAACAGAAAAGTTCTAAAAACTCACGTCAGCTCCGTTGGGTCCAGCAGGGCCGCGGGGTCCTGGAGGGCCTGGAGGACCCTGGAAACATAAGAAGAATTTTGATTTTATCATTTGAATGTCATCAAAAGTCACACCATCCATTGTTTTAGTATTTATGAATTTTTGAAACTCACCATTGGTCCAACATCTCCTGTCTCTCCTTTCTCACCTGCTGGTCCAGGCAGTCCCTGCAGAACAGAGGGGAAGTTTAAAAGAACAACAAGGAAAAACAAACAAACAAAAAGGTTATATAAGCTGTGTAGCTTAGCTGAGGAACTTAGCACAAAAGTGCAACACAAACTAGAAAAAAACAACGGCTTTGATGTGTGAAATAAAAAAAACTAAGAAAAATTGCTTCTAAAACAAACTATTGCCTTTACGGAGTGTTTACCTGAAGTCCGATGGGTCCTGGGGCCCCTGGGAATCCTCTAGTTCCATCATCACCTTTGGCTCCAAAAGGCCCCTGCTGTCCCCTCGGTCCAAGCTCCCCATCCGCTCCCTGCACCACAGAAGAAGAAAAATTAACACCAGGAGATAAAAATACATTTGTTGTCTATAATCTGAACTTGGCATTACAAATGTTTTCTACTTACAGCAGGACCAGGTTGACCAACAGGCCCCATTGGACCAGGTGGACCAGGGGGACCCTAATAATGAAACCAACAAACATGTAAACAATCAAAAACATTACATAAAAGAAAACCAGTTATCCTTTAAAACACATTTGTAGCATTTCTGGAACACTAAAAACAAAAAGCGACTCACGTGCTCTCCTTTTCCTCCTTTGGCGCCCTTCTGACCATGTTCTCCAACTTCACCCTGAAACCACAAAAACACTCCGAGTTTAAAATCAAAGCCATGAAAATTTGGGCTTTATTTTGATTTATTAGGGTTTTATTTGACAATTCTGTAGCAACTTCTTTCTTCAGGATTATAAATATACATATGACTCATAAACTAAATTATTGTTTTTTAATTTAGAATAAGTATAGACTACCTAACAATAAATTTGTTAACAATTGGTAAATAAATTCCAGTTATGTATCAACTATAGATATGAAACAAACTTACGCTGTTCAAGAGTCTGATGAGATTAAACTAGTAAATTAAGCGTTTGGACTGTCATATGGAGTTACTGACCTTATCTCCATCCTCTCCAGGTACTCCAGGTGGTCCAGCAGGGCCAGGCAGACCCACCGGACCCTGAACTCCATCGCGACCTGCTGGGCCAATGGGGCCTTTTTCACCCTTAACAGGAGAAAAAGGAAAAAACGGAAGATGTGAAGTTATTTTCTTCAATTACCTAAAAACATTAAACAAGATTTAATCTCATGTCAAAAGTGCGTTAAAGCAAATTTGAGAACAACTTTCAAGATACTCACAGGAACTCCCTTCTCTCCAGCCGGACCAGGTGGCCCTTGAGGACCTGGTCTGCCGGGAGGTCCCACAGGTCCAGCAGTTCCAGCAGTCCCCCTCTCACCAGGTGAACCCTAAAAAAAGTGCATAAAGTCATTAAATCAACAGTAGACGTTGATTAGATGAGTACTGTAACAATACATTATATCATCACTTGTTGAAACAGTCCACAAAACTGTACTAAAAAGTTAAAATATAAACGTCTGTATATGTTTTGGTAAATATTACAAATGAAATAAATAAAACTGAGATGGTTTAAAACATACAGCAGGTCCAGGAGGTCCAGCAGGTCCTTCACTTCCCTTTAGTCCTCCACCACCCTGAAAATCAACATTAAAAGAGTCAAATCAGTTTCTCATGTCAGACTAATACTATACTACTTGTGGTATTACTACTACTACTACTGCTGCTACTACTACTATTATATGAATTATTTTTGTTAGTAATATTGAAAAGAGAAGAAGTAGAAAAGTCCTAAAAGCTACTCTCATCATCACAATAACATTTCATAAAATAAATAAATAAAACAAACAATCAAAACTTTACAATAGCTTGAACATCTTTATTTCATTCAGTACGTGCAGTGCTTTAAATATGTAAGTCGATGTTCTTATTTTTGTTTGGCTACTCACCTGCACCTCTACCATACCTGCAGTTCTTCTGTATTGCTAAAAATGAATCTAAGTTGTCTTGTATTTTATGCATCACTGACAAAAATTAGAGTCTGATAGATAAAATAATCCTTCATCTTGATAAGTTATCAAATTTTAATGATGTGATTGTGAAGGGATGGCCCTGTGATGGACTTGCAACCTGTCCAAGGTGCCCCCCGCCTCTCACACAGTGATAGATGGACATGGGCACCAGTGACAACCGTGACCCAAAAAGGAAGAAGCGTGTAAAAAGATAATGGATGGATGGATTGTGAAGGGATTGGATGCTTTGTTAGGGATGAAACTTGGCTTGTCTGGGTGTATTTTTGAAACCCACAGTGGAATTGTTTAACTATAACACGGACTTGTTTTTAAATGCATATTAAAACACCTATAGATCCTATTTTTAACAAACACTGTTAAAAGTTTGATGTTGCATGTTGTGTGTCTCATAGAGATACTCACAGGGGTTCCAGGAAGTCCTCTCTCTCCAGGGAAACCTCTCAGACCTGGGGGCCCATCTTTTCCAGGACCTCCTGGAGGTCCAGGATCTCCCTTGGTACCCTCTTTCCCTGAGGGACCAGGAAGTCCCTGCTCTCCTGGTGGACCAGGTTGTCCAGGATGGCCACGTTCGCCCATAGGACCTGTTTCTCCTGATGGACCCTGGGAGGATGGAGGAAGATTGGACAGTCACTTACAAACAATTAAGAGGAAATAAAAGTGCCAAAGAAATAAGATATGGCCAGAAGGTGCAGAGAAGAAGGTAAAAATATTGACAGACTGCATTGCTAGGACAATTGTGAAAGATGAAATTGAAAGTATTGGTAACCAGAAAATGTTTACCACGATGAATCAACTCACCTGTGGTCCAACAACTCCAGGAGGCCCAGGTGGACCCATTTTACCTTGGAAACCCTGTAAGAGAAAAAGAGTCAACAGACAATCCACAAAATACCAAAAACACTTTGCTGTTCAAATGCATGATCCCTCAAAACCATTTCAGCTTATAACCATCGTCAGTTTCACTAAAACTGATTCAGTTCAACTGAACCACTTGATGTAACTGACTGTGTTTAACATCTAAAGCTTCCTTGGATCCACAACTGAAGTTGACTGAACTAACCTCAACCCTAACCCAAAACACAAACAATAAAATCAAACTTACAACTTCTCCTCTCTGTCCAGGATGTCCAGGCAGTCCATCCTTTCCTGGTGGTCCCTGAAAAGTTATTTTAATATATTAGTAACATATCAATTAAACTTTTGAAGAAAAAATCTTTAAGAAGCATACCAAGACAATGATAGAAGAAAGTACAAATCTCCCATTAAAAGATAAGAAATAGAAATCAAAATATTCTTACAGGAGGTCCCTTTGGCCCGGGGAAACCATTGGCTCCCTGAGGTCCGGGTAATCCCTGGTGAAATCACATCATATGATATAATGAGAACATAAACTTGGAGTGAAATTAAAAGTCTCATAATTGTTTATACAGACTCATACAAAAACAGAAGCTCATAAAAAGCTTGCGTAGTTTACTGTAGTGACAATCGAGCACTCACTCTCTCTCCAGGAGGTCCTGGGGGGCCGTCACTTCCAGATGTTCCCTAACAGAAAACAATACAATAAACATAATTATACCTTCCATCAAAAATAACTTTATTAATGTTGATTTGGGATGTACTTCGATCCAGTTCTAGGATATTTTAAGGCAAAAATAAAGGAAACAAATTAATAAATCAGTTTAAATATAGTATATCCTACATATCAAAAATAAAATTCAAGCTTTGAGAATCTGATTCAAATAATAAATTATGAACATTGCCATCAGTTTGTTGACAATAGAAAAGCATTCGACCAAAGTTCTTCAGAAGCGTCTGGATATAAATACTAAGACAAACCTTTGCTCCTGATTTCCCAGTTGATCCTCTTGGTCCTCTCTGTCCTCTGGGGCCCTGGTGGGCAAAAACAAATCAAATGTTATTAAATTATTTTAATTAGAAAAGCTAAACACCTTGACAAACTCTGCTGTGCTGACCCCCAATGGTTAAACCTCTAAATACTGCATTATTCAGCAGAGATGCTGAATGAGCTCAGAGGTCAAACAGGCTTCAAAAGAAACTTTTATAGCCTCTCTTTAGTTCCATTTTAATATCTTCATTGGTCAAAATGACAGAAAGGAGCAGCTTTTACAAAATGAATGAATGAAAAAAGTACCGTTGGTCCTCTTTGTCCTCTTGGTCCTTGTTTTCCAGAAACGCCCTGATTTAAACAAACAAACAAAAAAAGTTACAAACAAATGTAAGTGAAATAAACATTAAAATTTTCTACATAGCTTAATCTACAGTTCCCATCTCTTAGTTCCTCTATTTAGCTAAACTTAGCTTGACCACAGTAAAGCGAAGCCTTTCATAGCACTAGCAGCTTACCCTTGTTCCCTTCTCTCCATTAGAACCAGGAAATCCAGGGAATCCGAGAGATCCCTAAAAAAACAAATAGAAAACTTAAGTTTTTTAGTCATGTAAAAAATATCTTGTTCATAAATCATGTAGTAATGTATTTTACCTTGGGTCCTTGCCTTCCAGGATATCCAGGAAGTCCAGGAACACCTAGTTTACCCTGTAAAACGCAGCATTGGCATCATTAATAACAACTTGTTTTGCTTGATGGCCTGTTACACACAAAAAGATGTTATTACTGTACAATGTTAAAATGTGCTAGATTTATTCCTAGGTGTGTTGTAGTTGTACGACTGTATTTTGCAGGAACATTAGGCATAACCTTTAGTATGGTGCATCAAGTAATGTTTACAAAACACAAGAAGCTATTTCATAAGAAAAGTAAATGATTGTGTGCCATTCAAACATAACAGAAGCAAACTTAGAACTATGTAAATTGTGACACATGTAATATTCAAGTCACATATTCATCCTTTAGAGGGCAGATAATTGTTCTCTGAACAGGTCCTACCTTCTCCCCAGCAAGCCCAAGCGGTCCAAGCTCACCAGGAGGTCCAACTCGACCCTTTGGCCCCTCTGGACCATCCTCTCCTCTGGGCCCTGATACTCCAATCTCACCCTACCAGGAAGAAGCATAACAAGTCATCAAAAATAATTTTCAGTGCATATGCACAAGTCTATTCATCATAATGTGTGTTACAGTCAACTAACCAATCAATTAATTTGAAATTATATTTACCCTTTCTCCCTTGATGCCAAAATCTCCCTTAATTCCCGGGAAACCATCTTCTCCCTAGGCATTAAAAAACAAGAAAAAACAAATGCATGCATCTTGTATCTTTGTAAACAAATTGCTATCAATGTCTACCAAACATATACATCATCATTACTGATGCCTGAGGCATTCAACTGAAATGAACGAGTTACCTTCTCTCCTTTGTGGCCTTTTAGCCCACGGATTCCTTGTTCTCCCTGAAATAAACAAACTACATTATCAATACTCCAATATACCAATAAATTAATGAACACAAAACCCTTTTGTTCAGTCTACAAAGACATACAGTTTACCCTCCCACAAAAAAAAAACAAAAAAAAACGAATAGCAACAGTAAAATAATTTCATATTCTGTAAAAATAATATTTGTTACTTTCTACAAATGCCTTGATAATTTCTTCATAAATGCAGTGCACTGACCTTGACGCCACGAGGCCCAGGATAGCCAATAGCTCCCTGAGGACCATTCGGACCCTGGAGAAGATCACAGATATGGAGATGAAGTTAAAGTGCAAGACACAAGTATTAGGTAAATAGTTAATTTAACCCCAAGAAGAAATAAAGAATATTGTTGCGATCTTACCAGGTTTCCTTTAGTGCCAGAAGGCCCCTCCTTTCCTGGGTGACCCTGAAAATAGAAAACCATGAACTCAAATCTCCAGAAAGATGTAATACTGGTAGAAGCTATTTTATTCTTTTAAAACTGTATCTTATATTTTAATAAAGACCAACTTACAGGAGGACCATCAGCTCCAGGCATCCCTGGCAAACCTGGTTTTCCAGTGGGACCCTAGAAAACAAGACAAGGTGGTCATGAATTAAATATATTATGAACTTATAAAAATATTTATTTCAAGCATCTCGTATTTAAAATTTCCTGTTTGCTTCTCCTGAGATATCACTATAACAGATAGCAGCAATTTGTAGGTCTTCAAACTCCGAGTATAGTATTTTAATGCGTCATGATTAAATTGAGAAGTTGGATTTCCAAAAGTAACTATTTCATTCTCTTCAAACTGGGGTTGTGTAACAAATCTTACAAATTTTGAAATCAATAAATCTATTATTGCTACGCTGTGAAGAAAACAAAAGCTGCAAATATATCCTATTAGTTTATCTGCCTAGTAATGAAATTAACTCTACATCAATTAAAAATTTTAATTAATACTAAAAAATAGGAGATTAAACAATTAATTTTATTCCTTAGACAATTCTCAGGTATTAAAAGACTCCAGATTCTTCACATTTAGTGAAGAGTCAGAGCACATAACTAAAAGTTGTGTGGCTTTAATCTCAGAGAATCGCACCATCTAAATGCCCCTCGAGTATCTACTACTACATAATCTACAAAATATTCTGTAAGTCATAGTTTTTTTTTTACTTTTTCGCCTGGAGGTCCAGTAGCTCCCTGAGGTCCTGGCATTCCCTGCAGAAACAAACATGTAAAAAAAACCACCAAATTTACTCAACATGAATACTTTTCTCTTACCTTTGTGTACATATGTGCATATAACAGTGATGTGTCAATTTCTTAAATCTTAATTGAATTATAATAATGCAGTGACAGAATTTTATTGATCATAATTGTAATATTTATTTGCTTGTAAATGTTAATAAAAGTGTATTAATGTCTGGTTATTTATTAATGAGAACAAATGACGCTGAGATGAATCAAATGATAATGGGTAAAAGGCAATAAAGTTAAACAGTGCGACCATAAAGAGTGAATAGCTCTTTATATAAATACCTCTAATACATACTTGTGATTTTAGCTCATACAAAAAATACAAATACAGGATAACATATAGGTTTGGTCACCTGAGTTCCTGGGGTTCCCTGCTGACCAGGAGGTCCTGGCTCACCTTGGGGACCCTGAGAGACAGAAAAAAGACAAAGCTGTGACTGAAAGACACGTAAGGAAGGAAAAGATATCCAGAAATACAGACTAAATAGTTAATATCCGGTTTGTTCTAAATAATCTGAGGGATCAAAACTACATATTTTTATGATGAAATGGTGAACGTTACTGACCAAGTTTCCTTTGGGACCGTGAGGTCCATCATTTCCTCGTACACCCTAATAGGAGAAAGTGCACATAAGACTCACCAAACAGACAACAATTAAAACAGTAACTGCACGCATGAACAACTGCTCCACTGATGTTTCAGATTTTAAATAAACAAAGAAAAAATAAGGAAAATGCTGCTGTTCTTTTACAATATACAGATACAGGAAAAAAAAGACTAAATCAAAATACATTATGCCAGTCAAACACTACATATTATTAGATAAAAATACAGCATATGAGTGTCAGACCTGTAGTTGAGACTCTGCTACCTGAACCTTTGTTTTCTACCAAATACTGTTGTGAAACAAAAATAAAAAATAAAAACTGTGCTCATTTTTTGAGTACTGGTTCAGGTGCTAACTTAGTCCACAGTGTGTTGTTTCAAGTGTTGCTGTGGGTGGTCAGAGAAGGAAAATCTAATCATTCTAAAATAAAATACCACAGTGTAGTTTGGAACTGCTTTGACTCACAGGAGGTCCAGCGATTCCAGGAGGACCTTTAGGCCCAAGCAAACCACGTGGTCCCTAAAGAAAAACACAAGAACAAGACAGGTATGAGTCCAAGATAAGACAAAGCTTAATAACAGATGAACACAATGAATAAATGAGATTAACTCAGGTATGTGATGTTCAAAACAAACAGCTGCAGTAAGAACTCATAAATCAGTAAAAGGTGATCTGCCAATCAGGAATAAATAAATAATAAATAAATAGCATGTTGTAAAAACTACTCTCCACTCCTAATATAAATGTCATAAAATGGCAAGTACAGTATGTTATGGTAAAACAACAAAAAAGGTGTCTGCATACTAAATGTAAACGACAAAAAGTAGGTCGTAAAATCTGTTTGGTTGTCATGGAAACACTCACGGGTTCACCTGGGAGACCTCTGGGTCCAATGTCTCCATCGTCTCCCTATAAACACAGAAACAACATATAGATGAATGAATGACTGATACAGTGACACAATGTGATTTCAGATTATTTTTTCTGTTCTGCACGTACCCTTTCTCCGTCCTCTCCTTGAGAACCTGGTGGTCCCAATGGTCCTTGGTCACCCTGACAAAATAAAAGAGTGAAAGAAAAAATGATGGTAATGTTCCATGGATAAACAAAGAAAAGATGTTTGACAGTACTATTGTTGGACCTACCCTGTGTCCTTTGTCACCAGGCAAACCAGGAAGACCATCAAAGCCACGATCACCCTGAGACAAATAAAACACTTGTGAGATACTACTATTGCTTTGAAGAAGATGGTTAAGAAACAAAAATAAAGTTGACATTTATGCTTATCTTAGGATTTTTGACTGGACAAATATAGATAATTTAGATTAAATACAATATTACATGAGAAAAAATACTTTACCTTGGTTCCAGTCTCTCCTGGCATTCCTCTAGCACCATCAGCACCAGCACGACCCTGTTAAGGGCAATTAAAAAAAAAAATTATGTGATACTGTGACAAAGTCTGCCACTTTCAAAGTCCTCAGCTATAGTTCTGTTAGGTAATTCGTGGAAAAATAGACAATTGAAAAAGGACCAAAAGATGACTGAAACAGGACCAAAGCAAAAAACACAAAAAATGAAATATTGACAAAAATCAATAACTGTTTATACTCACTCTCCTTCCTGATTTGCCTGGAGGACCCAACAAACCCTGGGGTCCTCTAGGGCCCTAACAAAAAAGATGTGTGTGATTTAATGACTGTGATAAATAAAGGGACAAATGATAAGTTTAGTGAAGTGACTGATTTACCTGGGGACCAGGATCTCCACTTTCTCCCTTTAAACCAGAACTTCCTGGACCTCCCTAAAATAAATAATACCATCACCAATGTTGTTGTTGTTGGTTTTACTTTCAGCTGCTACCTTCTGCAGGGGTCTTGCAACAATGACTTGGCAATTGTTTTACGCCAGATGCCTACTACTTGTTTACAGTTTCTTAGGGATTAAGAAATTCAACGTTAAAAAAAAAAAAAAGAACAATGATCACAGTTAACAAAAAGTGTTCATGAGGGAACTGATGTTAAATTCAAATTTGTCAGTGGTGACAGTTAACCACAACAAGCTCTTGATAACAACATACAAAGGTCCAAATGACAGATAACCTACCATAGGTCCAGGGCGTCCAGTAAATCCCATTGGTCCAGAAGGTCCTTTCAGAGCCATCTAGAGGAAGCAAAACGTTAAAATCAACAATTAAGACATGTAACTGTTTACAATATGCTTTTTAGAATTATTTAGCAAAAGGATATCCTCTTTCTAAATTAGCTCAGTCTGTGATGCTAGCACAGAGATGCTGCTTTTTTGTTGCTAGTTTTATAATATTAGCTGCACATTTTTGCAGACTAAGTTCTTTTTTGTTACTTACTTAATTTTGTTTAGCATTACTTGACAGTTTATTTGGCAAACTGTCTCAATGCATTTGGACAATTTCAAGGGCAAGTAAATTTGAAAAATCAGCAGAGGGGGAAAAACAATATACATTTTATTTTTTATCTACTTGGGCAACTACAAAGCATCACAAATTCTTCAGAAGAACTAACTGCATGCAGTGTGGACATGTGAAATAAAAAGTAATAACTGACCCTGGCCTGAGACAAGATGGCTGCAGCCTGAGCTTCCTGTACAGAAACAGCAGGACCCTTTTCACCTCCACTCTGACCAAAGCGGAACTGCAAAAAGAAAACAAAATGATAATCAATGACACTGACTCATTCAGTAAATAATATCTCAAACTATAACCTGAGCTAATTTAAAAAAGAATAAAAAGTAACTTTGTTCATGAGCAGTGGATGAAAAACTCTACCTACTAGTTTGTGTTTGAGTGGTCATTAGGTATATATCAAAGAAAAGCTCAGTTATAGCTTAAGATCGTAGAACAGCTATATGTACTAAAATACAGAATTAAACGTAATATTTAAGGGGCCAGTGAAACATCTTCAAAATGTGCATTCAATAAAACAAGCAGTAACATTTGTTCACATTAGAAACAATCTATTTCTAATAAAGGGTCAAAGGTTAAGGGTGACTCACAGGCAGCATGACTGAAGTTCCAGGAGGTCCAGGAACGCCATCAGCCCCAGGCAGACCAGCCCTACCAGGAGGACCCTACACGATGAAAATAAGGAGTGATAAAGCAGACAGGTATAAAGAAGATAGATACTCTTGTAAGTCTAAATTGCAGATAATTATTTTTTCAGAATGGCTGATGCACATAATATGCACTTCATAAAAGCAGGTGGAAAAAAATTACCCTCTCTCCAGGGTCTCCCACAGAACCAGGAGGTCCTGAAGGTCCAGAAGGTCCAGAAGGCCCCTGAGAAAGGAAGAAAAATAATTTGGCAACTAAGGAATACAAAGAATGTCATAATCTTAAAAATAAATTTATTTCACAAAAATATACAAATAAATGTAATTTACTTACAGCAGGTCCTTCAGGCCCTGGAGGACCTTCAATCAACATTCCCTGAAACAGGCACGATAAAGTTAAGATGCTCAATGAGACAAAAAATAAATTAAATAAATTAAAGGGATGTCCAAATCAATTCAACGATCAGTACTCCATGAATAAGCATAATTTTAAATATAATCACAGTGAAAAAAATACTGTGACAAAATAATGCACAGAAATTTTATTTATTTATTTATTTTTAAATATATTATGAAACAAAAGAAACGTGTTTAGTGGTTTTGATGATCTTTAGGAGAAAAAACTTTATAGACTTTCATAACATTAAATCCTTTTTATTGGCTCCTTTTAAAATCCAGAACATAATATAAATTATTGCTTTTAACAAGTGAAAGGTTTTTCAAAAATTTTATATTTTAAAATTAGCCAAACCAAATATGCCTGATTATATAAAGTGTCTTAAAGGCATCAAGTAACTCACAGGTTCTAAGACAGCAGGTTCTCCTTTTTCTCCTTTCTGGCCGCTAACGGTGGCCTGAGGAAAACACACAAGTGTCCAGGAACAAAGTGGAGTCATTATAAAGGCACTTAACATTTAAACTGTAAAATTACAGCCATTGAAAGTAAACACCAACATGCAGAGAGAAAGCTAATACCACAGTAACCTATACTTTAATAAAGTGTTTAAATCAAAGTGATGAAAAAAATTACAACCTGTTTTGTTTGTGAATGTTGCAAATGCTTTCCTTCTCATTATCTGGTTCTCCACACTGCTGGTCCATTACTTTTATACACTTTTAGCATAAATACAAGCCAACCGAGATTAGCATTACTAAATGAAGCCATACACTGAAAAAATGTCACTAAAGACTGTTTAACTTCCAAATGCCCATTTTTTCAGTGTATGTAAGAGTTACTGCCTACATTAATTAGGTTCTTGAACAGCTGGTAACAACTAAAGCAATCTTCTCAAGGTCCTAAGTTGCTTACTATGCATTTTAAAAATAAAATCAGTTTCAACCACCAAAATGACTTCTAGGTCTTGAAATAAATTAAAATTCTTGTTCCTCTTTGATTGAGCTTACCTGATACAGAACTGAAAATGACAAATGAAACTTTTTAGAATGATAGCCATTGTAAATTTAGGGATATTAAAGTGATGTTGTTAATGCCAGCACTACAATGTCAGCTTTTAGATAAAACCTTTCTTAAATTATTTGGTCTGAATTGTTAAAAAAAAAAAAAAAAAACCCAACAAATAATAAAAATACCTCTCAGTATTGGTCTGTGGTAGATAGCAAACTTAAGTTCTATATGAGGACTCTGAATACAGTCTGGTGACGTTGAGCATTCACAGTTGGTTGAAACTGATTTTTATTTTTTCCTCAGAAGCAAAATTACTTACGCCTCCCTCGTCCGTCACAGCGGACAAGGCGGGCCCCATGTAGGCATCAACCTCTCCAGTCTCTGGTAAAGGATCACTGTAGTCTCTGTAGGCATAGTCGTATTCCTTAAGGCCCACATCTCCAGTCACATACTCCTCAGTGAAGACTTCTTCATTCACACCGCCTGCTTTGGTGGCATCTACTTCCTCTCCCACCAAGGCTGGTTCCACCTGGGGCTATGATGGGTTTATTAAAGCCGCAAAGGGACAGATGGAGAAGCCCGAAAAAAAGAATTCAAGAAGGAAAAACAAGAGTGCAGGAGGAGGACCAGTAAGAAGAAAAACGTTGTGGAAAAGGGTTAGTAAAAATGTAAAATCAAGGGAGAGTGCAAGAAGGGAGCATATAAAAAAATAAGTCTTACCTTTTGCAAATATACAGAAACATTGGAATAAAAAAAGACATGGCAGACCTCAGACTCTGAGTCCTTAATGTTGCTGATCCAGTTTGGATTTATTTTAGGTGAGTTATGTTGAAGCAGATTTATTCTGCTGTTCTAAATCTTTTGCTCATCGTCTGATACTTCACTTATAACCGCAGGTTTTCACCAAAGCACCTTATTATCAGCTCTGTGTGTAAATAAATATATTTTACAAGTTTGCATGAAAAATGCGAGTCTGTGCTCAAGAATCTTCCTTCATAAGATTTACGAAATCACAAAACTGATAATACCACACTTTGTAAAAAACATGTACTGTACTAGGCAAAGCAAATACTATAGTATCTTACTTATGTACTTACCATTCAAGTTATAAGAACAAATATGAATCCAGGGCGAATGAATGATTCCTATTTTCTATAAAACCTGTAATGCTTTTGGCAAAGTTGCTTTCATATTATTAAAGATTTAGCTAAAGAACCAAAACATTTTAACATAAAAAATTTAAAACAAAACCAAGTTAATAAAGTCATCTAACATAAGTAAATCTGCAACAGATGTTTGATGTAAATCTAATTGAACACATCACAACTATGGCATATTAATTTTTTAATTCTGGAAATAAAGATTGTGAAGTAACCTTTAAATAACTAATGTGCTATAGTCAGGCTAGAAATGTTTTTTAAACATGAATGCATATTTATCTCCTTTAATTTCTATAGATAAAACTGCATATCAAACATTCCTATGTGGATCTGTTTTTCACAAGATTTTTGTTCTTATTCCAAGACATTATCAACCAAGAATCTCGAGATGAGAACAAAAGAGAAATCTTGTTGATAGAGAAGAGAGAGCAACATAAAAATGTTTGGATGCAAGCAGATGAATATGGTACATTACTGTACGACAGTTTCATCTTGCTTTGTGGCATTAACGCCAAAGTCACAGTGATGTAAGGTTAGAAGAGTAGAAAGAGGGATACAGAGCTCTTACTACTTTGTTAAACTACAAAGACTGGGCTCACCATCATACAGGTATTAAGCAATTTTTATTTCAAGATGGAAACCTCTTGAGTTTACTTCTGTGTTGTTGTGTTTCACTGCACTAATCACTTTATCCAATCTAAAGCAAATTACAAATCTCTCAGATTTATCATATATGTATAGAAATAAAGTAAATTCTATCTAACTATTTGGTCTATTTTGACTTGAAGTATGTCACTGATCAGTGTCATTTTTTTATTTAATTGTTTTTTTTTTTTTTTTACCTGTACAGGTATCTCTTCTTGTCCAATCACCTCACCCTCTGGATGTGGAACCATCTCCTCATAGTAATAATCGGTCTCTGTAGGGGTGTGGCCAGCCTCAGAATATTCAGTGTCTACATCCTGATTGGTCAGGTTGACAGGAAGTGGCGAACAGGGAGAAAGTAAAAAGATTTGATTGAGAGAGCGGTGTTAGTTCACAGTCTGCTCGTAGGTGATGATGAGTAAAAAGAAGAAAATGGAATGCAAAATAAAAATTGCGGTTGCCAGAAGCAAACTCTTACTTCACTGGCAACTCACAATTTTAAACCTGTAAAGAATCATTTTAGAAAAGAAATTTCAAATGCAGTAATTGTACAATTATCAATGACTATAAATTTTGCCTGATGCAAGATTTGAAAAGTCACTGACATGTTTTTGCTGAGATTTCTTTTCTTGATATTGTTAACCCCATTTTTGCTTTTGAAAGCTCACAAGCCAAGACAGAAAGTGAAGTATGCTCCTATATGACGTAGGATCAAAAGCATCTATTCATCCCAAAAGATGAAAATATCATAGCTTGATGCTTTGGGATGTCTAGTTTCACCCAAGACTAGAAAACTAATGCAACATTTATCAACAGCCTCACAGAATATGAACTAATTCATTCAATGCATTTTTATAAGAATCATCTTATGACCATTAAATTCACTTTTTTATCTTAACAAAGGTTAGCATTATAATACAATGATATGAAACCAGGCTTAACATTTGTTTTTATATTCTGGGAAGCTGTTGTATTCATATTTGATAAAGATATAACAAAAAGAAGTAACAAAAAACAAACAAACAATAACAAGGAAATAGATGTCAGAAAGTAGAAACAGATGCTTGAATGTGAGATAGTGACTTAGGCAAGAAATGTTTTGCTGCACGTGTAAAGTGCAATATTATTTCTAGTTTCTTGGTGAGGCTTATGAACCATAGCAATCCATGCTCATTTATTTGACTCATACATTGTTTCCATAACAAAACTGAGCTCAAGTTCATGATTCAGTTTTAGTATAAAGTTAGGTAAATAATAGCAAAACTGTACATTTAGCCATGCTTGAATTTGCGCAGACTGAACATATCATAAGAAGAGGTTTGGAAACTCTTCAGAAAGATATGATATATAAGAAAACGATGAGATGGAAGTCTGCTAGACAAATTAGTATGAATTAACTTCCATTCTGATGACCAGCTTGAGTATCATCAAGGATTTGCATCAAAATTTATATTGTTAGCCACCTAAACAAAGATTAAACTATTCATAAAAATACATTTTCAAAACTTTTTTTAAAGTTTCACAAATATTTTGTTGCAGATCTGGATGATGGACAGTGCTGGTAAAGAGACTGGAAGGGTGGGACATATCCAGGCATTCTGACCCAAACATGAACCCTCATGTTGTACCTGTTGATAACCGTTGGTTCTCTTAGCTGGGACTGCAGTTCCACTGAGTTGAGTCTTGCCAAACGGTGGGAAAGGTTTGTGTTGGGATTTAATGTTTGTGTCCATTATTTTGGATTTTGTAGATTTGGGCGGAGTCGGCTGGACAGGGGCAAGTGTTGGAGTGGAAAACTTTTTGGTTGCTGGTTTAAGCACAGTTTTAGTTGAAGTCATCTCTTTAAACTCTGCCTTCCCTTGGGCTTTTGTTATAGAAGCTTTGGTAGCAGCAGCTTTTGTGACTTTTGTAGGTTCTGGTTTAGATGACTTTGTGGGTTTAGGTGCTTTATTAACTCCTACGGGTGACTTAGTTGCACTATCCACAGTCTTTGTAGTGGTTTTAGTTTTTTCTTTATTTCCAGTCCCTTTATTGTTGTTTGTTTTAGCCGCACCATTGACTTTATTCTCAGTTTTGCCATTTCCATTCGCCTTAGACCCAACAGTCGCCTTTCCATTTCCACTGACTTTTTTCTCTGTTGGGGATTTTCCATTTCCATTTACTTTCTTTTCAGGGACAGTCTTGCCATTGCTGTTTGCTTTTGTTGCACCATTTGGTTTCTTGCCATTCTTAGCTGGAGCAGTTGTGGGTTTGGATTTTGCTGTTGCTGTTGGTTTGATCTTAGACAAAAGGAGTTCTGCTGCAGTGGGTTTTGCTTTGGATGACTTGGCTGCAGAAGACTTGGAAGCTTTGGTAGGCATAGCCGGCTTGACAACCAGTTTGTACGGTCCAGTCTTGGCTGTCTTAGCTGGAGTTGGTTTAGCTTTGACAAGAGTGGATTTAGTAGGAGCTTTTCCATTAAGTGCCTTCTTCTAATATCCACGATTATTATTTGGTTGAGTTGTTTAGTATGTAGAAGTGCATTTGGCAAAGACGCATAGATAGGGTATAAGATAACAACGATACACAAAGGGGTTGGGAAGGAGATAAAACACACAAACAAGGGATTGACAGAAAGAGAGAAAGAGACAAGAGCGGATGTTTTGAGACATAGTGACATAAAGATGGCTAAGGCTTGGACGATTTACTGAGACTGTGCAGGCATTACTGGATACAGCACAAAAACAAGTTACAAAATACCTCTACATAAATAAATACTTAAAACAACCAACAAGACATATTAACAATTTACTACCAAGATATTTACTGGGATTTTGCTGTTTTCTCCAGTAATGCCATTCCCAATATTACATGACAAAGCAGCATCTTTGTTCTAACAGGAACTGGAGGCCATGGTTTAGTAGAGGCACTGAGGGGTCAGGTAAAGCTGGCTGTTTAATACACACATACAAAGAAATTAAACAAAGTCACACAAACACACAAAAACATACACAGAACTGTGCACTGACCTTCTGTGTTATAATGCACTAAACAGTCCAACTGAAAAACAGAAGGTTTTTGCAGTTAAGCCATGCAAAGAAAATAACTGATGTTAGTTTGGCGTTCAAATCAATGTTAGCCACATAATAATCCCAAAATTTGGAAAATAAATCATAAACTGATCATTTTTAGAAATCATGCCACTGTGATTAAAACACATGCAAAGAAAATGAAAAACTGTTAAAAAAAATACAACAAAATATGAAATAAAAACAAGCCTTTAAGACAAATATACACTCCATAGGTGTAATACAAAACTGAAACAGATCTTATTGAGATATGCTGTAGCATACACACATGCCATACAAACCTCTGGTGTTTAACCATGCATTGAAGATTTATGTTGAAACTGTACATTGAAATATAATTTATTTTAAATAGATGACACAAAGGTGCAGCAAGTGCATGCAGTTACACAAATTCTTCAGAATAATTAAGTGGTCAGGCAAATACAGGACAACAACAATATTTGATCAAACACTTGCAAATCTCACAAATAATTTTGTTAAAAACTGAGAAGAACCCAATTAGGTAGGGTTTATCATCAAAGAACATGCAAGGAAGGTCAGTAAATAAAAATACACCAGAAAAAAAAAATCAAAGTATTAGCCTCTTCTTTCTTGTGATTATAAACTAAATACCTAATATGTCAGATTAATAAAATTATGTTTACTAGGCTCATACTCAAAATAGTCAAAGATCAAACAACTAATCTATATAATTCCTCTTGTTGATATATTATTGTCAACAAACCTGGAAACAACACTGACTAATTTAAATAATTTTATTTTATCTTTTATGCAGTCAAACCTGAAAAAAACATTTTCAGTCTTTTTATAAAAAATATTTTACTTGGCTATAAAGTTGAAAAGAAGAAGACAAACATCTGAAGTACAAGAGAGCACCGTTTTGGAAAATAAAGAACTTAAATGCATGTGTGTAAGATAATACAGCTGGACCTACACTTCCCCCAGTGCCCCCACTTGACCATGTGAATTTACATAAACATATGACACCATGTAAATAATATAAAAAACAAAATAATCACAAGGAGCAAAGTTAATCTTTTGTGACACAGAGGATGGAAATAAAGTAAATGTGTATGAGATCAATCTGACTTAATAAAAAGGTGAGATGTAAAACAAAAAACAGAGGTATAGAGTAATAAGATGAGAGGCACACAGTTTGTAAAAAGTGAAAATGTAAAATTTTTATACAAGTTTTTAATTATATATTTTTAGAAAACATGTAAATTTGCATTATATTCCAATGATAATATATAATGATTCATTATAGCAATGTTATTGTTTTAATACCCCTCTCTTTTCCTCATTCCTCTTTCATTCCACTAAACCAAATTGTGTCTTCCCTCTCTCTTGCTCCCACTTTACCTGGTTGTGTTCTCCAGGTTGGGGAGAAGAGGATGCAAAGGAAGAGGGAAGGTCTGTTGTTTCCTAATAATAATAATAATAACAATAATAATAGGGGTATTCATGTCATCCTGTTCCTCATCAAAGTACAGAAAGAAAAGAAATCATGGAGGGATTGTTTGGTTAGAAGGAACAAAAAGGGTTGGGCTGAAACGGGGCAGGACGATACATGAAAGCAAGAAAAAGGAGAATTAAAGGGGTTTCTAATGCATAAGAGGAATAAAAGAGTAAAAGAGCAAATATACAATTTTGCAAGACTGCAAAAGACAGCAATAAGAGGTATTTACAAATGTGAAGCTTTTATTTCTCACCTCATCAGTCTGTCCAGCTTTGGTAATATTAAAAATGTCTACAGACAATACCCTGATGAATGAGAAAACTATCAAAAATAAAAGCAACTGAAAAAGCTAATGAATATAACAACTGATTTATATTCATTGAAAAAGGAGTCATCTCAGCAGTATCAACATAACAACTACAAAAGTTAGGTGCTCTATAAACCAACATTTATACTGATTTAGATCAAACATGCAAGCTTATAAAATATTAAGTGATTTAAAAGTGTGAACACAGATTAAGTTTAAGCGTTTATAACTTTGTGATGAAGCTGATGTTATAGGGGAATGTCAGCTCCCAGTTTTCAAAACCTATTATAGATGTATTGTGCACAATCAGTCTCAGTAAGAAGAAAGGTTCCACCTTAGCCAAAATCTTTTATGCCAAAATTTAACCAGAAAATCTATCAAAATTGTATTTCCATGTTTTATGTGCTCAACAGGTTCTTTACATTTGAACCTATTGAAACAAAACAGGAAAAGACATTCATATGTTATTGTATTATCCTTTTCCCCCTACCTTTCTGTGTTCCGTTACAGTACGGCAGAAAACAGTGACAAGTAATCCACTGCTAAAAGTGTATACCATGACAAACTATGTCCATTTTAGGGTGCAGTTCTGGGAGGAATATGACAATGCCTCTGCCTTTCTAAAGACCACAGGGACACATAGATTGTGAAGGTGAGGGAGAAATTGGATGGATACAATCTGTTGCTGATGACTAAGATGCATGAGAAAGACAGAAAGGGAAAGCAGGACTTTGATGGCATTATTAGATGGCTGAATCTGAACCTGAGGACTTTGTTTCAGAAGACTGATGCTTTTGAAAAGGCAACTCAAAAGGAAGCAATTATGGTAGTACCCAAGATGAAAACTATGTTTAGTATAAACATCTCTGAAAATTTGACTGTGATAAACATTTGGTGTACCCTCCCATATTTTACTGATAGTACACACTAAATATTTTTCTATCCAGTATTTGCCTGACCTGATGACACAATATTTAACTTTTGATTCAGGAATAAAAAAGCTAATTAAAATGTAAATCAAATTAACTGATCTAGTATTTTAATTTTCTCTAAGTGGTTTATTTATGAGAAGAATGTTGGAAAATGAGAAGAAATTTTAAACAAAGTCCACAGATTCTGATTGGACCAGCTTCACTGGAGCTACAGATGAACATAAATAGTTGGATTTTAAGCATAAAAACCAGTGTAAGTCAAAGGTTCTCTATCTGTGTAGGACATGCTATCTATCTGCCTTGAAAATTCTAATTGGATTTACATGTGGTGGTGTGCTTTCTTTGTTAAAAAAAAAAAAAAAAAGGAAATCAAAGAAGGCGTAAACAATTAAGGCTAGTTACTGTACCCTGCAAGAACATGTATGAACCTGGTGTGTGGTGTTACTCACGTATGTGTTAGGGTCCTGCGCCTGGGTCTTGGGAAGAGGGGAGTCACAGTCAGGGCTGTAATGTTCACAGAAGTCATAGGCTGCCTGAGGGTTGGAGGCAATTAACAGTTGCTGAATGTCTCCCTGTGGATAAAAAAAAGATACAAGCACAACTTTTATAAAACTTCATACACAGCTATTCCAGAGTATACACTTTTCTTACAGGGACTTTGTAGAAAAGGGCGTAACAGCAGAGGGTACACCAGAAGAAGTACTATCAGTCATATGCTGGATTAAAATTCTGACCTGGAAAACCTCCTCATCAAGCAGACGAGCTCCAAACACTGTAATACCATTGGTGTCAACCACAGCATTATTGCCACGGGGCAGAGGACGGGTCATCTTCTTCTTGCAGTCCAGCAGCAGTGTCACATTTTTCTTGGAAACAGAGAAAGCAATGCGATGCCACCTAGAGACAAATAGAAGAAAACACAGGCAAACATCCATATAATGACTTCTTCTACCATAAATAACAATAGCACCCAAATCATAAATATTTTCTCAAACATACACAAAATTACTATTTCTAACCACCCACATGACCACAATCATAATCTACACCAGTCACAAACTGGTTGCTGCTGGTTACTGACTTGCCATCAGCCAGGTTGATGCCTTTGAAAAGTGGGTAATCCTCGGGAGCTGGTTTGCCGTTCTGGTCCTCATACAGAAAAACAGGTGAGCGTCCAAGTTCAATGCCCAGTTGCTGGATGCCCTGCTCGCTGTAGATAGAGAGGAGGAAGGCTTGGAGACCAGCTTGGGGTTTGATCAGAGTCATGATGGAGAAGTTCTCTGGGAAACGGCCTATAGAAGGAAATACAGATAATGAAACAAACAAAAAAAAAATATTTATTTGATCAATATTTACCACTTATAGAATGATCTGTGGGTGTTTTTGTTAAGTAGGTAAGAAGGACATGATAAAATTGAATGTATAAATTTGTGCTGTAGAAAGAAAATGGACTGTAGACCGGCCCATACATTCTAGCAAACCTTTTTTTTATCAAGGAAAATAAGAAAAACAAGAAAATGCTTTAGGAACTGATGAAAGAAAATGTAAAAATATAGTTATCAAGAAAGATAAAAGGAAAAAACAAAACTGTAAGGTAAGCAGCATAACAACTATAGTCAACACTAATGTTAAAATTAAAGTGAAGGGGAAAATCCATCAGGATTAACATACATCATCAGATTGTGAAGCTGGCATTAAGATGTGAGCTTATAATAGCAGGCAGGCACAGATGGATCAAGAATGTTAAACAGAAAAACCCTCCAGAAGATCCGGTTTGGCTTTATAGAATTTCTTTTTAACCACATAAGTGGTACTTTCTGTCTTATTTTCTCACTCCAACGAGTCAAACTAAATTCTCAAATTAATGTGTTTAAGACCTTCTACACAATTTACAGTTTTTATACAACAGCACCATATAATTAGTATAGGCCACAAACAGCCTCACTAAGTTAGTTTAAAATACATTCAAGCTGAGGTATATTTAACACAGAAGTATACAAATATACTTTACCTGCGTTATATACAAATCTTAAGCTTACAAACCAATACAGCCACTAAAACTTTACATGATTATTCATAAAAATAAAGAAAAATACTATACGTATTACAACATCTGGGGAGTCACCGAAATTCATTTCAGTAGCATTTTTAGCTAACTTTAGCATATTAGCATTCGTTAGCGGAAAAGTAATTTAAAATGTTTGTATCCGCTCATTTTTGTTATTTCAGAACACATTTGCAAAGTTTAAATCACATATTTACCAGCAGCAGAGTAACATTTACGTGTTTTCCATTCTTATTAAAATTAAATATAAATTTAACAGCAGCTTTTGTGGTCGGTATAAATTAGCCAGCCCTGAAGTTGCCATGGTTACCGACGTGCTCTTCTTCTGTGGTTCATAAAAGTGTAGATGAAAGAAATTCTTGAATGATTGGTTTTAAAGTGTTTTTAGAAACCTATCCTTACAACTTCCACTATACAATGAAAACAATACATGTATAAATGTTTTAATGTATAAATCGAAATTACACTTAATGCTACACAGCACTTGTTAAAATTTGCTTGAGAGAATTTACATTTCCCAAGGAAGGACAGCCAGAAAATAAAATGGTCATTTTGCTTTAATAATAGTCTATGATTTATTTATCATAAATGTTTATGTTTTCTTTGAGGATGTGTCATGGTGGTGCTTATTTTAAGTTGGAGAAATGCTGTGTTTAATGTTACGTGGGTTTTAAAATGCAACCCTAAACTATCGTACAATAAAAATTACAACAGAAAAATGCAATCACACCTTTTTATGTGAAATTACAAAACTTATATTTATATCTAGGACATTTGAGGCCTTGGTGTTCAAACATCCTTTAATAACCACACCAAGAAAAAAAGCAATTTTTTTCCCGGTATATTTTATTTGTGGAAATAATAACAATACTGCTTAACTGCTTATTCATTATTTTTATTTTATTTTAATTTATTTATTTATTTATTTCAGTTGAGTTCAGGGCATGCTTCAATAAGATTATGGGGCAAAATGTGTTCTGGTGTTTAGAACACCAAATAAACAGTGTGGTCTTCATAAAGATTTAGAAAACCACAACATTTATTCAAGCTGAGACCTACCTGAGAAGAGCTGCTTGGTGGGGGCAGAGACCTGGGCCTTCTTGGTGAAACGGAAAGCATGGTCGGGGCTGCTGGAGCGACGGGATGTGCAAAAGCCTGGGACTTTCTTTACGCCTTCAGGGAGAGTGGGAACCTGAAGAGCTCGCAACACATCCACTGGATCTGATAAGGAAAAAAAACAAGTAAAGAAATTCATTACATTGCTTCAAATAAGTATTTTAAATAGATGTTATTCAGCTGAACACACCCTTGTATAAGTTCATTTTTGCATATGGCACTGAACAGATTAAGGATATCATTTAATGATTTAATTATGCAGTAACTCTTGCCAACAAGTTTGCCATTTTACAAATCTTGCTTTGAATAAAGTTTATCTTAAGAATGATCTTAAATATTCTTGCAGAATGGTAGAGAAGGTGTACAGTGTACATTTAGGTATACTGTAAGAAAGAAAGCACTATGCTGGCGCAGATGGGCAACAGTCCAAACAACATACAGTATTTGAACCACCAATGTAGGGTGGGTACAGCAAAGCTCAGTTTACATCAGAACGGAGACTGCGCTCTCTGTTCTGCTCACATTTTTAAGCAGCTGGAACAAGTGGCTGTTGATGTGAAACTGCTGAGTCAAATAAAGATTTCGTTGACATCACATAATCATTTCACATCCTAATTTCACATCTACGAACAATCAGAAATAATGAAATGCACACAAATGTCAATGATGCAGCTAACATACTGTAGCACACACACACAAAGGAGCAGGCAGACTGTCGTCACTTTCACACACCGAGGTCAACCAGTCTGTTTCTCTGCTTTCAGTCTGAACTTGGGTTTAACCTTGTTGACTTTCTCAGATTGCTCCAAAAGGCAGTGTGGCTGTCTGTCACACTTCAGGTAAAAACATATCTTTTAAAGTTAAGAAAAATGAATTTATTTGATTGCAACTTCGTAAATTAAAATAAAAGTTTGAACCAAGAAGAGCAGAGAGAAATCAAACACACTGTAACAAGGTATCTGCAAATATTTCCTGCCTTTTGAGAATGCTTAATTGTTCTTTTTTATGTCTAAGATATGTATAAGTTTATGAGATCTATACATCTGCATTTACTCCCATTAGTTAACTTAACATAATTCAAACAGTTTCTCATTGTCCAGACTGTACATTGTTTTATACATTTCTAAATCGTGCTTGGTTTTTTTTTAAACCGTTCATTAAAAAAAGATTTCATTTTATTTCTGTGGCTGCTGTGCCCCCTGCAGTCTAATTCAAGATGGAAAGATAAAAATGTGTGACATCAATTTGCTCCATAAAAAAAGACGTATACACGGCAACAATTAGCAAATTAAGCAAATTTGAAATTAATATACAGTAGTGTAATTATTTTTCCAGAAGACTGAGATTTTAAAATGAACTAAAACAGGAACATGAGTTCACCTCTTCCTGAACTTATTTGTCCTCAATCTGTGTTTGAGCTGAACCAGAGAGCTAATTTAGTCGTTAACAGCCAATTAAATTCATTTACAGCCAGCCCTGCTGTGGTACTTCCCACAATAAACTCGTCAGGTCACTGATGCATTCCCCTGGTAAAAACTACATCACACCATGCAATGATCAAACCCAGGCTACTTTCATTTTCTTTAGGTAGCCACAATTATAAACATATTCAAGTGTTGTAGCAAGAAAAACAAATACAGTTATGGAGGAATCGTGTAATTACACCCCTCAGATTTGAAATGCTCGACCAAGCAGCACCTGACCAAAACACAAGTGTCTATCAGAAATGATCTCAAGTTGGCACTTGTGACATCAGTCACAAAAGCAAAAACTGGAAGAATGTACTGGTATAACCTAGGAGTGATCCTGCTTTCACTGCATTCTAAAATATTTCTAAGGGATTATGTTTGAATCTTATGCAAAACTTCCTTGTTTTTGTTCTCAAATCTCCCTGTCCCCATCAGAGGTGCTTATGTTTAGGTGACACCCAGGGTTTTAGAGTTAACAGTTAGTCAAACGGACCCACAAATGGTAATATTTATTCAGAGAGGCTAAATGCTACAATAATATTGCTGCTGGGCGTCTAGACCACAGCCTATTAATGTCATCCTGCATCAGAGAGAAAAAGGAAGAAGAGGACAGAAATAGGAAGAAACAATATAGATGAGATATCAGGTAGAGCGAAAATAGGAAATGGTGTGTTAATGTAGAAGAAAATGGACAAAAAAAGAAAAAGGAGAGTAGAAATGAGAGTTATACAAGTTGGTGCGATTTTAATTGAACCATCCCATGCAGAAAATCCGAGAAAATTTTGCATAAAAGTGTAATTTAACAGAAAACTGGTTAGTTAAGAAACATGCAAACAGATGACAGTTCAAACAGAAAATTATCTATACTTTAAAAGAGTGGCTTAACAGTCCTAATTTTCAGAAGGTATATTTGTTATCCACGAAACTCATAATCAGTGGGCAAAATCAACATTTGACGTCTGAATTCTTTTTAAAAACTAAATTCTTTTGCACATTTGCAAGTGAACACTGAGCTTGAAATGTAGAAGGAAGGAGATGAGGTAGAGTTTGAGAGAGAAAGGTTCATGCAAAGTTGGAGTGTGTAAGTGTTTTAAGGGGGGTTAGAAGTGACAGTAGACAGCATGGTTCTGCAACGGTAGGGTCCTGGATCAGATTGCAGCATGAGCTCCCCCAGTATGTCCAGTACAATGCGCTGCTCTGTTCCCTGTTCTCTGCCCAGCTCACATCTGCAGACGAGGAGGCCCTTCCTGCCTGGAGGACCACAATCACTACCAAAACACACCCTTAAAAAACAACACACGAGGGTGCAGACGGCACAGGCATACGTGCACACCTCTCAGGATGAGTGACACAAATTAAAGTAGACAAGGTAGAAAAACAGACGGCTGAGATGCACAAACTCACTCTCTTTACCTTTTTTCTCCCTCATTGTTTAAGCATAAGCACTCACAGATGGTTTCAGATGTTTGATGCAAGTGTGGACCAATTACACGGCTGTCATTAAGACAGGAAACAGGTTTTCAGGCACGTGAGAACACAGCCAGGGCTGAATGTAAGAAGAAGTTGGACTAAATGATTGGCTAAAGTCCAATAAAAAGACAATTTTCCCAAGAAAATTATTAAAATGATCCTGTTTTACTCTTGTTGGAAACACATTTACACAATGAACTTCATTCACCTATTTTTTCAACACTGAATCTGTACATTTTCCTACAATGCGATTTATAAAATATAAATGCATTGATCAAAAGATGAGTTACAACATCAAATTTAGTTTATTTCCATTGATATCAAGGATTAAACTGTCAATTTTATCAGCAGACTGTTGTATTTTTTCTAAATCAAAGCAAACTCTAATTCTTTAACAACTAGAACTTATTTAACTTGTAATGATAATTTATTAAACATGTGTATATTTCAGAAATTAGGCTTTATTCAGGCCATTAAAGCTGATTTAAAAGTGATCCAAGATAATATGATTTTTTAATGTAAAATAGAGCGTTGTGCTATGATGTAGCTGAGACTGAAACAATCCTGTCACCGTTGTACTGTAACACTGTCAGTCGCACTGAACCACAACTGACCAAACGTGCTCACCACTATTTAATCACAACCTTACAGAAAATGTTAAAATATATAAAAGGTACACAGGGCGGCTTTTAAGCTGTAAAATAAGGTATGCAGTTAAAACTGCAGTACAGTATGTTTCTGAGATTCATTGAAGCTGCAGTTCTACAGAGCTGTCACAAGATGGCGCTAACCTGATTTCATTATCTTGTCTTGAACAGTAGAGAGCAGAGAACCTGACACCCCCCCCCCCACACACACACACACACACACACACACACATTTCCAAACACAGTTAGATGGTCTTACAAGAATAAGGAAAAGATGACAAGTGTAATTGTAAGAACACAGGTGCATGTTCTCCATATGCACGTGTGGGTTTGGTTCTCCGGTTTCCTCCCACAGACCAAAAACATGCATGTTAGGCTAAATTGTCTCTAGGTGTGAGTGAAAGTGTGAATGGCTGTTTGTCTCTGTGTGTCCCCTGTGATGGACTTGTGACCTGTCCAGCCTCTCCCAGTATAACTGCTGGAAATAGTCACCAGCTCCCTGTGACCCAGAAAAAAAAAGAAGCTACAGAAAATAGATGAATGTTCATTTTGTTGAAACCGCAACACAAAGCAGTTGGATGCATAAATCTGAGCCTGTGTGTTAATAGTTTTTTTTTCCTTCTTCTTTCAGCTGCTCCCTAAGGGGTCGCCACAGCGAACTAACTCGCACGAACACTTGCCAATTATTTTTACACCGGCTTCCCTTCCTGACGCAACCACAGACCACCGAGCTACCACAGCCCTCTCTGTGGAGCAGAGAGCTGCCATCCAGGGCACCCGGGGGGAGCAGATGGTGGGGTTAAGAGCCTTGCTCAAGGGCACAGAGTGGGACAAATGAGGGTGGAGGCAGGGTGCTTCACTTTTTCCACCCACATTTTGATGTTGCCGGTACGAGCAGTTGAACCGGCGACCTTCCAATCACAGGCCCACCTTCTCTAACCTCTGCACCACCACTCCTTTATTGAAGCAAATTGGCAAAGTGGAGATAGCTGGTTAGCCCATAGCCAACATGAGACCCTGAAAATAATGAGAAGGATGTTTCATTGTTCTATTAATTTTATCTATCAATTATTTTTAAAATAGTCTGTAGATTGTTGAAAAGATCTAATGAAAAGATGTCTACCTATCTGTTAAATGTTATATATACTGTATTTCTGTATTGCATCCTTTGTATGGACACAGACTCACACACCTCAACACATAACTCACTTATTATCATTGCAAAGTTTACTTCAAAGGAAAATCTTCATATCCTCTAATACTAAATTTTTGTGTGATACGTAGATGCTTGTGCATGTGTGTGTGCACATGCAGCCTTTCCTTTTCTGGCACAACTTTGCCAAATACCAGACACACACTCCAGCTGACACTCTGACCCATCACCTCTCACCTTTACACAACATCCACATTGTTAGACGCACGGAGCGAGAGGAGCGTGTTATATTGACGACAGGTCAACAAGGCCGGTGGTTCAAACTCATTTTTACTCTCTGTCCCAACACTTCTCCTCCTCTCACCA